TAATAATAATAATAATAATAATAATAATAATAATAATAATAATAATAATAATAATAATATTTTTTTAATACATATTTTTACATTTTTTACATTTTTTTTTATAAAAATAAATATTTATATTTACACGTGATCTTGGCTTTACTTCTTTTCTTTCAGATTCCTCAACTTCCATATTTTCAATTCCTGAATCTATGTCAACACCAGAACTACTACATTGTTTATTAGTATTTTCTTCTATTTCCATTGGTAGCTCAGGATTCTGAAATTGCTGCTGTTTTAATGGTGATATTATTTGATCTGTAAATGTTTTAGATGGACCAGGTGTGTTTGGAGAAACAGGATCATTATTATGACTTATATTAACTGTTGAATTAAAGCTGTCCAAGCCTGCTAAACGAGCCATACGTCTTCTTCTTACCTATAATTGGAACATTTGATATTATATTTATAATTTTTTAATGTTTTGTTATTTTTTTATAAAATAATTTTTTAAAAAAATAAATAATATGATTTTTGAAATAATTTCTCATATTATTAATATTTAATAGGAAGATATGATTCAATAATCAAAACTATGTAAGATATGATCAAAAATTTACTATATTTATATCAAACACAAAGAACACACAATAACAATGAAAATAAAAAAATACTTTTATAAATATAAAGAATACATTATCTTTTTAAATAAATTTTATATTAAAGTAATCTTTCTAATTCTATATTATCATGAAATATATAATTTTTGTTTACATTATAAAAAAAAGAAATAAACATTGTAATTAATACCTCAACAAGAATTACCAAAGAATTATCTTAATTATATATTAATGGAAAAAATTAATTTTAATTTGTTAACGTTATATAATTATTTTAACACAATACCACAGTAGAAAAAGTAGTATTTTACAATTATTGTCTTGCTGATGAGACTTCTTTTTTATCTTGTTATTTTTTCTTATGCTCTTGCCTATCATGTTCCATTTCAGCTTAAATTTAGGAAACAAAGCAAGCATAAAGCGAAAGGAAGGTAACAACAAAACGGACTTACGGACGCTATTAAATAACGATTGAAAACGATGCATTGGTACTCACTTCCTCTTGGCTTAATTCGCTCATGGCGATTTCTTTATTTTTTTCTTTTGATGTCTTTAACCTCTGACACGATCACTTATGATCACACGTTTGTTGATATTATAAAAATTCTACGAAAAAAAATGTCTTCACTGTTCGAAAAATTCTGAACGAGATACGTCAAAAATTTGGACAGCCACTCCACATCTGTTTGCGTTTGGACGTGAAAGCAGCAATTCTACACTGCGTTACGGATAATCACTGTTAAGCTGCGTCGATTCTTCAAAACAGCTGAGCAACTAATATAAAACAGAACGCTCTCTTGCATTGATAATGATAACTAAAGTTCAATCAACATCTGCGGGTTACGCAGTGAAACAATAGTAAGGAAAGGGAATTCATCATTGTATAGCAAAAATGATCAACAATATAATCTAATACTCTATATTTATATATATTTATCATATAATATATTTATTATTTATTTTAATTTTCTTTCACATCAATAATTTAATGATTTGTATATAATGTTACTAAATATTATTACTGAAATTTTTAATTTATTGTAAATAGATTTAATAATTTAATTGATTATATTATCAAATATTGTTATTATACTTAATCATTGTCTATTGTCTATATATTATCACATAAAAAATATAAATTATATTTTAAAATATATATTAAATTATATATATTCTAATTATTATTTCAATTCAAATTATTTGTTATATATACAAATTTCTTATTAAATTTTTATTAAATATAATTTAAGGTTAAATAAGAAATTGAATTATGAATGTTAGAACGATATTATTAAAATTTCTTGATCAATAAATATTATTATTAAAATAATAACAAAATATAAAATTTAAAAATAATTTTTGATTTCTTAATACTTCTATTAGTCATATTTATTAATCAATTATTGTTAACAATTAAAAAATTGGTCGAGTCTGATTGGTTATTTCTTAGATTCAATATAATAATAATATTATATATATTGGTCAATATTATCTCGTTCTGCAGATAAAATCATTGTACGACATGTGTGTGTGAGCAAACAAAAGTGTATAATACAATAGTTGATAATAGTATACTTGATAACATAGTATATTTGCATAGTTTTTAAAAAATTTATATGTATATATTTGTTACGTGTATCTAAAAATATTATTTTTGACAAGTATCAAAATAGTATCGAGTATTAAGATGGTTTTTTAAATAAATATCAAATTAATTTAATTAATTTTAAACATAATAATAAATTAATTTTAAACATCGATTTTTTACGATATTTAATAATACGTGCTATAATGAATACAGAAGAAATTATTGATTTTGCGAAACTAGGTAAATATAATATAATATTCATATTTTACTAATTTCAATTTTTTATTCTTCTATTTATCTATCTATCTATCTATCTATCTATCTATCTATCTATCTATAATATTATTATAATATTTAACAAAAATTAAACATAAGTTATTAGTATTAATTCTTTTTTTATTTACAATATTTTATAGAACCAGATATTCAATCTTTGATAAAGAAGACTGTAGCAGTTCGTGAGTACTCTTATTCACCCTATAGTAAGTTTAAAGTTGGAGCTGCAATACTTTGTGATGATGGATCCATTTTCACAGGATGTAACGTAGAAAATGCATCTTATCCTGTAGGAACTTGTGCTGAAAGAACAGCAATTGTTAAAGCAGTGTCAGAAGGAAAAAGAAAATTCAAAGTTTTAACAGTAGTAGCTGATAAAAAAAATAATATTTTTACTACACCATGTGGATTTTGTAGACAAGCTATTGCAGAATTTGGTGACATACCAATTTATTTAACAGGACCTGATATGAAAAATGTGTTAAAAACGACATTAAGCAATTTGTTACCTCATGCGTTTGGAATTGGAAATGCAAAATTATTACAATAAATTTTTAATGAAAAAGATTAAGTCATATATATTAATATTTCTTAATATCTCTTTAAGTTCACTTGTTTTATATATTAATTATTTTATCAAGACATATTGTCTTTTAATGAAAATATATAATTATTATTGTTTTATTGTATATAATTAATGTTATTTTGTATTATATGAATTTGTCTATAAAAATTTGAATGAATGGTCTGACTGTAATAATTATGATGCTAGTTTTTATATATACAAATTTCAATAAATACAAAGACAATCCTTAAGAAAAAAATATTGTTACTATAATCTTATTCCTGAGTAGATTTTTTCTATGTTTACATAAAAACTGATTATTATATAATTTCTGAAGTATGTTTTTTCTAATTTACATTGTACTTTATAAGCAAGAATAACATAAGTATTATATACAATCAATATAATAATATAGCTTATATATGTACATGTTCTAGTATGACATTATACATAATTATTTCTTAATAATAAAAAATGCAAAAACAGGAACAAGACTGCACATGATATACGTTAAAGTCCCCATCTATGAAAATTTTTGTTTACCAAAAGGGACACCTGTAAAATAAATATAATTTTATTAGTAATGATTAATAATAATTAATCATTTATAAAAAAATGTATTATTTATATATTATATAATTAACAAATAAATAATGAAAATCATTTATGATTTTGTAATATATTGTAAATAAAGTTATAAAAAAATACCATCCAATATAACATTGACATAAATTTTCATTATTTGTAGCTTGTTGAATTAAAAGATCAACTTGACGTTGAACACTCAATGTTTCTTCATGAGAGAAATCACGTCCCGTTAATTTATCCCTTACTCTTGTAATAATAGCAAGAGCTTTTTTGTTTAATGCCTCTGGTTGATTAGTATCACCTATAATAATAATAAATTTTCATTCATTTTTTATGATATATATCATTTATAATTTTCAATTATATATTTATTAATTATTATAATATTTTGTTTACAATAATTTTTCCTACTTAAAAAATAAAAAAAATTAAATTCCAGATAAATAGTTTACCTCCATTTTCAACACTACATGGTACTCCTTTCTTTGGTAATGTGGCAGTAAGAGAATCTAATGCATCGCTCTGCTCTTGATTACTGCTAGCACTCATTCCCTGAGCATCAGATCTTTTACCTTTCAGTGCAGCATTGTCCATTAATCGCCAATTTAATAGAGGATCATATACAAATGCTTCTAATACTGCCATTAAACTATCCTTATTACGATGTAACACTGACATTACAGATTCACAAGTTCTTCTATATGTGCCCTCGATTCCCGTTACTTCCATCGCATTGATTAACATTCTTGTTAATCGAAATGGGATTTTCTCAGGAAATTTCTCTCGAGTCATAGCCACTTCAAAACAATCTCCGAAATCGATATGCAATATTTTCCCGCTTAAACGATCCAACATCAAATTAGATGGATGTCGATCACCAAGACCAAGGATATAGCCCACCATAGACATTACAGCGAGAGAACGTGTATAATTTGTCCTACGATCAAACCATACTTCGCTTGATGGTGATTTTAACCAAAGAAGCCGCGATAAATCATCACCATATGTGTGCTCAAGGGCATGTTCAAATACTTCAACTTTTTGCATAAGCATAAGATGATCATAACCTGGGGCCATCTATAAATCAAATTGTTATAATTGAATTAATTAAAATAAAGTATTAACACATATAAAATATGTACTTACTCTTAACATTATTTTATGTTCTATATTTAATAGTATTTTTTTCTTTTCTCTATAATCTCTGATAAGTGTATGTAATGTATCACAATGTGGTACCCAACCAATTAAACCACTATTTGTGGACAATGGAATTACTGCATACCTCTAAATATAAAATATCAAATTTAATTGATAAAATTGATAAAATATTATATATTTAATAAATTAATTATTTAATTAATTATTTGATAAATATTATATTATAAAATTTAGTTTTTTAACATATATTTACTTGAATAGTAAGATTTCTTCTAAATGTATCTGGATCATGTAATAAAAGAGTATTGACTAGACCAAATAACTGCATTACACGTTCATCCTGTCTGAGATCTTCATGTCCTTTCAAAAGGAACATATAATCTTTACCATTACTACCTGCAAATATTAGACATTTAAGACATTTTATACATTTTATTCAATGTTACATTAAATTATCTAATGAAATTCAAAGATTACTGACCTTTTATACATAATTTTCGCGGTCGCTGTTTGCTGGTTATTACTTGCATAGAACTATGTATACTTGCTATTCTAACTATTGGCTGTCCCGGACTATAACTTCCCGGTACAGCCAGTTCTAAATCCCTACAAAGAAGTAATTTAGGACTAACATATTGAAGTTCTAAACTAGTTAACTGCGGTAATTGTCGAGATATCCTTCTAAAGACATGATAATATAAATCCCAAGCTTGATTTAAATCTCGAACATTGCGTGAAGCTTTATATCTGCGGCACCATTCTTGTGCTTCCATTAAATCTCTGCCATAAGCTTGATTAAAGGAAGTTTCTTTCAAAGTCTGTGGACCTCTTTCTAACATTGCATGTAAAGGTTCCAATGTATCAAACATTCCTCGAACATTTCTTTCGCCGAAGTATAATCTGCTAGCTTCTTCTAATCCTTCATGCCATAGTTCATGCCAGAGAATTGCAACTCTAATTAATTCATCGCTAGCCATCATTGCTTGTTGTACTAATGTTGGACTATGTTCACACATATTTTTAAGAATTTTATTGGCAGCAGTCTTTCTAGCATGACTAGCACTTTTCGATGCTACAGTCAAAGGATAAACCAAGGCTTGTGGATGCGTTTTTCCAATATCTATTAGAAGATGATGTATGCATCGACCAACTAAAGCTCGGGGTGTGTCTATTCTTGCTATAAGTTGCGGAATTACTTGTAACCAAGTATTGATTTCAATTAAACGGATACCTTCGACAATAGCTTCATATACCTCTGGCCACTGACCATAATCAAACCATAAAGTCAATAAACGAAGTGTATCTTGCAAAGAATTACCATGAGAAAGATTAATAGATCTAAAAAATCCTTCAACTGCTGGTACAGTAAATTGAGATATATACTGTGAACTAGAAAGATTATTATGAGTCCCGTTTCCTGGAATATTCTCAGTATTTGAATCACCTTGCTGATGTTTATAAAATAAAACTGTTTCAAAATTAGTATAAGCGAAAGCATGCCATGCTTTGTACCAAGTAGGATCATGTTCTGTAGCTGCAGCATAATAAGATAGCACAGCTGGTATAGAATGTTCATTTATGCCTTGCAATGCTTCTAACCATTCTCCAAGCTTTAAATAACATCTGGCGAGTAATCTTTTTCTTATTTCCTGTTGTTTCTCGTCTTCTTGATTGACTACTGATAGAGTTGTCGGTTGTAAAGACATCTGTACAAATCTTTGCAGTTGATTATATGCTTCTTCTCGTTTATTTGCTACCCACATGTGTTTACAATAGGCAAATGTTACTTGAGGATGAGTAGTCGGTAATGCTTGGACAGGAGTTAATGAAGGATCTGTTCCAAGTAACATAACTAATGTTTTATGACATAACATTAAGCTACCACTTTTTCTGCAAAGACTAGCATATTTCAACCATGTATACATATCATCTTGAGGTGAAACTACTAATGTGTGAACCTGTATAATCTTTTGCCAATCTTCAACTATTCTTTGTCCACCTTGAAGCCTTTCCCACCACATGGACTTAATGGTAGATCTTCTTTCAGGGACTAATTTAAATTGTATCACTTCCTCTAGTTCTGCTAATTTTTGGACTTCTACCATAGCATTATAAGCTCTTTGATAGCTTTCACCAGCCATAGCAGTCAATTCTGTATCTAGCAAATCTCTAGCACTATCAATAAGTTGATGGGCAATATTGTATTGTTCATCATGAATTGCTAAAACAGCTCTATAAAAGGCACCATCCTGAGTATCCTTTGGTATTAAAGAGACATATTTTTCCATACTTTCCCATTGATTTAAACCCCATGCTGCAGCTGCTGCCATTCTAGCCATTCTCTGTTTAGTTTCATCATTTTGATGAAACCATTGTTTGGTAGCAACATCATGCAATTGTCCCCATTCTCCAAGAGCTTCCAAGCAACGCATTTCACCTAAAGTCGATTCTACATCTGTAGAATCGCTTTCTAGTCTTTCTCTATATAATTGTAAAGCTTTATCCCAATTATGTAGTTTTTCATACCAACGAACTTGTACTTTTAGATCTTGTTGATTATTCTGATTCATAACATATTCCAATAAACCTTCTGCAGCTTCTTTCTGCTGAAGTTTGTTATTAATAGAGATTAAAGATTCAAAAACATTACTATTTCTGCTTTTATGAAATTCATCTTCTTTATAATGTAACGCTTTTGCATAAGCTCTACAATGCATTGCTCTTTCACCTAAAATTTTATTGTCTAAAGGTAATGGTCCTTTGTCACAATGTTCCATAAATTCTGCTAAATTTAAGATCGTTTGTGTTATCTCTGGAAGATCAGGAACCATTAATGCTTGTTGTAAGGTTTGTATAAGTTCCGCCTTATAAGTATCGTCTAATTCGGTCCAACAAGAAACGAAAGCCGCATTAAATAAATCTCTAGGTAATTTGGAATAGGTCTGTGCAAGAGCCCAACATGATCTTAATGCTGGTGACGGTGATTCTTTGAGCAAACCAATCGACAAACTTCTTAGCCATTCCAGCCAATCATCCTTTGAAACTCTTCTTGTTGCAGTCCAGGCTTTTTGAAGATTTGAGGCAGATACGTGTAATCTTTTAATCGTAGTTGTGTCAGATGATGTTAACGATAAGTCACGATTTTTATTTCTTGAATGTCGATGTCTCATTAATAGATAATCCTCACCGTCAGCAACAGTTGTTTCTGTCAAAATTTTATCAATTAAAACTTCATAACGTGAATTAACAATTTTATGTTTCGTCATAATTTTTTGTACTAATAAGATAAAGATCTGATATTTTTTTCCTAATTGTATCACCAATGCACATAGTGTATCCATTGCTGTATTTCGTAACTCTGGACACTGA